ATAAATATTTAGGTTTTGCTTTGGATGAGAATATGATGTTTCAGGAAGGAAAAAACTTACCAGCAGATTCTGCAGGAAGAGCTCTTGGTGGTTTGCTAAGCAAAATGTAATCTTGCCTAGATCTTGGTTTTTCCATTTGTACACAACTTTATGAATCGTTAGTTAACCCAGTTCTATTTTATGCTGCAGGAGTTTGGGGTTCCAAAGAAACATTTGAATGTAATTCTGTTCAACACCAAGCATTAAGATGCTTTCTGGGTGTGCATAAGTTTGCAGCAAAGTTAGCTGTGGAGGGGGGGGGGGGGCACAGGATGGGTTCCACGTATAGTTAAAGGGACTTTTCGGACTTTTGAATTTTTATGTTCACGATTGCCTCCTCAGGCCAAAAGCGTAACGGCAGCTTCAATAGTAGGCTCGTGCACGAGGTGCACATGCTGTACGTGCACACTCCTTAACGAATATAACAGCTGAGACAGTCCCGTGTGTGTGTGTGTGGCCCAGAGGACAGAGGACAGGAGAACACGCAGCTAATTAATTAAATAATTTGGTTCTGTACCTTTCTCTTCAGCACAGCCGACAAAGGTTTATGATGGGTCAGTCCTCCTGCATGCTCAGATCATTCCCTTCCTTTGCTTGAAAAATTGTTCCAAAATGAAAGTTGAACCCACATCTTTTTTATCTGTGAATTCAATGCCGTTCGGCGAGTCTCAAATAAAAATTTGGGCATCTTACTGTAAAAAATTATACCATTAATGTACCATACCATACCATACCATATTTATTTATAAAGCACCATTTCAAAATAGCATGGCAGCTAACCAAAGTGCTGTACATAAAAAAGCCAAATGCTTGACCAAGAAACACAATAAGAACAGGCAAAATACATAAGAACAAAGCATAAATAGTCGGAGATAAAAATTCCTACTAAAAACAATAAAATAGGAGAACAGTTAACAGCACTATAGAAATAAAATAATGCAATGAATAATAAAACATTTGAAATGGCACAAATAAAACAAAATAAAATACCAGATGGTGTGAGGTGCCAAAAGTGAGCAACTAAATCATAAACATGGAATTAAAAACTCAAATCCGGTGCTAGATTGTCATGAAAAGTGTCTCAGAGGGAAGGCAATGCTAAAGAAGTGCGTTTTCAGGGCCGACTTGAAACTGCTAACAGAGGGAGCCAGACGCACATGGAGGGGCAGAGAGTTCCAGAGTTTTGGGGCTGCATAAGAGAAGGCACGCTCCCCCCGTGATTTGTACCGAACCTTCGGAACAACAAGCAGCAGATGATCTGCTGACCGAAGGGCACGGGTGGGAACATATGGGGTCAGCAGGTCCGTCAGATAGAATGGGGATGGGCAGTACAAAGCCTTGTAAACATATAACAGGACCTGGGAGCCGGCGTAACCCCAGCTTTCCACAGGAGCCGTCAGCAGCACGTTACTGTAGCAGCACGTCATAGCTGCTGATAGGAACCGCTGTGGTCAACAGAACCTTTTCCACTGGAGCCGTCAGCAGCACGAGTCGGCTGCATCTCAGGAGCAGCATGTCGCGGCCTTTACGCGTCGGTTCTATTTTCTACGCGCGACGCCTCTGAAACGGGTCAAGTTCGACATTTTTGGGGAAGGAAAGACAGGAAATCGGACGCGGAAATGGAGAGAAGCTCCCGAGATTTTCAGAATAAAGAACGTACTGCCTTTCGGTTGCTTTACTTTTAAAAAACGTTACTAAATGCGCGGCCCCGTGAGAAGTTATCACCTAGCTAGCGGTCTCCTTTGTTTTTCAGGTCCGTACTGGTGATTATAAAACGGACAGAACATAAAACACAAACCTTTTGGAGCCATGTTGTAGTTTTCTCCTGCTTGTTGTTGTGTTTACTGACGAAGTCACTCATGTGACTTCGTGCTCGGTCGGTGACAGCTGCTCCCCTGCTGCTTCGCGTCTCGTGGGAAGGGCCAAGCAGCAGTTTACGTGAGCAAGACGTGCTGCTGCAGTAATGTGCTGCTGAGTGATGCGGCGGAGTTGGAAAAAGCAGGACTTGACATTAGCGTTGACTTGTGAAGACATTGGAAGGTCAGAGACCAGTTTCACACCTAGGCTAGTGGCACATGATTTGAGATTGAGTGGGAGAGTTGAGACATCTAAAGCACCAATCATGTTAGTGGGGCTAAAAAGTATGGCATCAGATTTGCTGTAATTTAAACGTAGGCAGTTTTGAGAAAGCCAGGATCTGACCTGGGAGAGGCATTCTGACATCATAGAAAATGAGTGTTGTTGGTTGATTTGAAGGTAGATCTGGCAATCATCTGCATAAAAGTGGTAGTTAACCCTGAGACTTGCTAAAATCTTACCGAGTGGTAGTATGTAAATTGAAAAGAGGAGAGGACCCAGGATGGAGCCCTGTGGTACTCCCCATAGAAGTGGGACACTGGGAGAAGAGCAGTCTCCAACATGAACACTAAAACACCGACCATTAAGGTACGACTTAAACCATTCGAGGGCAGTACCGGTCACACCCACCCAAAATTCAAGTCTGTGAAGTAGGATGGTGAGGTCTACAGTGTCGAATGCTGCAGTCAGGTCGAGTAAGAGTAACAGCACATGGGAGCCAGAGTCAGTCAGAATCAAGATGTCATTGAGTACCCTAATGTGTGCAGATTCTGTGCTGTAATTCCGTCTAAAACCTGACTGAAATGGGTTAAGAAGCCCATTGTCATCTAGGTGAGAAGTAAGCTGCGTGAGAGCCAGTTTCTCAACTACTTTTGAGATGAATGGAAGTTTTGAGATTGGGCGATAACTGGCACAGCCAGACTGGTCAAGGCCTGGTTTCTTCAATAGCGGCTGAACAACTGCATTTTTAAAAGCAGCTGGAAACACACCAGAGGAGAAGCTGGAATTGACAATATCCAAAACAGCAGGGGCCACCGCTGGAAGGACATCGCGCAGCAGTCTTGGAGGAAGGCTGTCCTCTGGAGAGCCTGAGGGCTTCATAGCCAAGATTAGATCAACCAGGGAAGAGAGTGTCACATGCGCAAAGCAAGAGAATGAGGGTGGACAGTGAGGTTCCACACAGGTAACCCAGCCTGAGTAAGAGAAACCGGATCTAATATCCTGGATTTTATGCAGGAAAAAGTTTTGAAACTCGTTGCAAAGAGCCCCTGTAGAGGGAGAAGAGTTGGGAGATTCTCTAAGGGATAGTACAGAGGTGAGGACACTGTACAGTTTCTTCTGGTCATTTTTATGCCTAGTGATTATATTTGCAAAATATCTGTTTCTAGCTGTGCGGACAGCTTTCTGATAGCGGGTCAAAGAATCCTTGAATAATTGGTAGGAGATTTGCAGCTTGTCCTTCCGCCACCGGCGTTCGCAGACCCTACATTGGCGTCTTAGGGCACAAGTCTCCTCATTGAGCCAAGGGTCTGCCACAGTTTTTTTATACCTGGATTTTAGAGGAGCGACTGCATTTAAAACAGTTTAACAGGTAGAGTTGAAAGAGGTCAGCAGCTCCTCAACTCCTACACAGGTGGAATCAGGTTGGGAAGTGGATAGAGTCGCAGCTAGGCTAGATACTAATAGATTGGTGGTGAAAGGGGAAATTATTCAAATCAAATCAAATCGCTTTTATTGTCACGTCACATGTGCAGGTACACTGGTACAGTACATGTGAGTGAAATTCTTGTATGCGAGCTTCACAGCAACAGTTGTGCAAAATACAATAACGTAAAAACAAGCAAAATATAAAAATGGCTGATCTAAGTAATAATATATATAGTATTTAAGGTATATACATTCCTAAATGTGTGTGCTAAGCATTTTATTTTTTATTTTTCCACGTGTGTGCATGTGAGTGTGCGTACATACATATTTAACAAATGAATAAAGTAAACAATAAAATAAGAGATATAAAATATACAGAGGTTGGTATGTGCAAACTTGTAAGGTGTTGATTATGTTGCCTAGTGAATGGAGGTGTCAAGCCACAGATATTAAAAATAATAGGAGAATGATCAGAGATACATGCAGAGTCAACAATCAGATCAGAGATACAGATCCCAAATGACAAAACCAAGTCTAAAATGTGCGATCCTGAATGGGTGGGTGACTGGACCTGTTGCTGGAGACCAAAACAATCTAAAATTTCTAAAAAGCCACCAACAAGAGGTTTATCAGGGCAGCAAACATGTATATTAAAATCACCATATTTTGGAAGAAAGTCTGTTAAAAGATCAGAAAATTCCGATAAAAGTTTATGGCACCCTTTATGGTGTATGACATCAATCAATCATGTAGGTAGCTTCCTGCACAGCCTCAGTTCAGCAAAACAGGGTTTGGGGAGTTTTAGGACCACAGCGACACACTCAGACTAGCCGTTAGCTCATCAGAACTGAAGGATGTAAATGATTTCTCTTAATGGAGGCTGTTACTGCTGATGGCTCAGACTCTAAATGCACACACACACACACACACACACACATGCGTGATGTGTTTTTGCAGCAGCAGCAACTTCGGTCAAACTAACACACATCGTTGGCTAAACATGGTCACTGATCACGATTACTGAGCATTAAATTCAGCTAAGAAAGTGTCACAACTCCTACTGGACATAAAGCAAACTGTTATTGTTCAAAACCTCTATGAGAAGCATGTCAGGGTTAGCGTTAGCATTAGCATCAGGGTGGTAGGCTTGAATCACACTCTGCAGGTTTAACCCTGTAGTCAGATTCAAAAGCACCAATTCCAAAAGAAAATAATGAGCTAAAAGATAAAATTTCATCCTCCAGAATTAATGTCTGACTTTTTTGCTTTATTGGTGAAAATGAAGAGAGATTAAAACTAATGAACAGACACAAATGTTCCTGTTTGGTCAGTGGAGCTGTTGGAGACACATCCATCAGGATTTATAGCATGTAGCCTCATTCTGAGCATCACGCATGACTAAACACGCTCACATGTCAGCAGCAGAGCCTCCAACGAGTCGTCTGATCTGGTTTCAGTGATAAAGACGGGCGAGAGCGGCCTGACCGTCTTCAGACTGCTTACCAAGGAGAACCGCTGGAAGTGGGTCCAGGCCAACGCCCGACTCGTCTACAAGAACAGCAAACCGGACTACATCATCGCCACCCAGAGGCCTTTGGCGTGAGTGTTTCTGCATCCTTCCTCTGCAGCTTGTTTGAGTTTGACCTGATTTATCTGATCGATAGTCTGTTCACAGGGAGGAGGAGGGAGGGGAACACCTGAGGAAAAGATCTATGCACCTTCCCTTCACCTTCACCACCGGAGAGGCTCTTCTCTACCAGACTGGATACCCGCTGCACGGCTTCCCAGATTCCTTTCAGGGAAAAGCCAAAGGCAGCAAATCCAAGAAGGGCAAAGCGGACAGGAGCTCTGCAGATGAGCTGAACCCAAGTTCTCTTCTGGGAGCGCTGATGAGCCAGGATGAATCTGTATACGTCTGTCATCCGGATGTGGAACCCAAGATCTCCCTCCACAGCAGCAGGACTAGTGAGCCTGACGGCCTGCTGAGCAGCACCAGCTGGAGTATCGGGTCCAGCAGGGAGGCAGGGACCTGCAGTGCTGAAACGCTGAGTTTTGACCCTCTTCTGTCCACTCTGGACTCCCTGTCTCTGGCTGAAGAAGAAATGTGTTCCAACAGCGAGCTCTTCAGCGCTCTGGAGAATCTGGGCCTGAATGCTGATGATCTGGAGCTTCTGCTGCTGGATGAGCGGATGATCCAGGTGGAGCTGGACCCCACCCACGTCCCCTCACTCAGCGACATGCTCACCAACAACGAAATCCTCTCTTACGTCCACGACTCTCTGCAGAGCGAGACGGAGGAGCCGGGCCATCCATCAAACCCTGACCCGGGCCAGAACCTCTCACAGCAGCCGGGTTCTGTGCCCCTGGTCCCCTCCAGCACCAGACAGCCCATCATCCAGCTGTCACAGCAGATGCAGCAGCACATCCAGTCTGCCTCACTTCCTGGAGCAGTCGGTACCGACGATCTGGGCGGTTTATCTGTCAGTGACTGGGTGGACCAGGATCATCCCACGTCTCATCAGCCCCCACCCACACACTCGCAGCTTAATGGTGAACATCTGGATCAGGACCCACACCTGCAGTCCCAGTGGCAGATGCAGGGAAATGAGGAGAGCCTGTCAGCTTGCCACAGTCAGCTGACATCAAACGGGTCATACCTCCAGAACCAGCTCATGGCCTTCCCAGCCAACCTGGAGGTGGGACACGTGGATTACAGCCTGTCCAGCTTGCTGTTGAACGGTATGACGGGTACCACAGTACCTCCACAGCCACCGCTGGGTCACTATAAACAGATCGCTCCATCCTGTTTGCCCAACGGGTCCACTCAGAACTCCTCCCCAGAGCTAGAACAGCTTCTGTCACTGTCGCAGCCGCAGGACGGGCTGACACCATTAACCTACAGCCTGTTGGACCCGACGGCAGACGCCAAGGTGAGACACACTAAATAATAAATCTGTATGTTAGTCTGCTCTATGTGGTCCGTGCTTGATTGTATAGAGAACCAAAACCAACAGAAATGTTAATGCTGATGCTAGAAGCTCATTAGGATCCCTGTTGTTCTCTCAGTACCTGAGAGCTCCAAACTGGGCGGAGCCTTCTCACCTGTTTAACCTCAGAGATTATTTTATAGAGATGGGAATAACGTAGTTAGTATTTTCATTAACGTGAAAACAGATGAATGACTTAATCATTATGACTCTGCTTCCATTACTGTTGCAGTGTTAACGTTAGTGTTCCTGATCATTTCTTTAGTACCACTGTAACACGGACGTCATGGCCGCTCAGGTGTTACAGCTTACTGTGCGTCTTTACCACCCAGCTTCAGCACTTCTGGGTTTGGGTCTGACCTAAGTTAGCAAACTTAAAACATCAGTCAGATCAGTGCCTGTTCTAGTGTCACTGTTAAGGATTTTCATTTGTAGGTATGCTGTAACTAGATTATAGGTAGAAATGCAATAATATTTAGACTGTTAAGTAGCGATGGGTACCGAATTCGGTACTTTTTAAGGTACCGACCGAATTCCATAGTACCGACTGATCACCGATTCATGTCATTTGAAACGGTGCCTCGTTTCGGTACCCGTCCTTCATAACGAAAACTTGCCTAGACAGCTGCAAGAGCGTTACGTCGTCGGTCGCTGCGAGCCAGTTGTAAACAGAGCAGCATGGTAGAAAGAACACACGCTAAAGCTTGGGTCCACTTCACTAAATGTGATGGGTAACTGAGTGATGATGAAACCAGCGACAACGATCTAAGTGAGACATCCTCATCTTAATCTGCTCCGGTAGGTAAATCAAATGTTTAAGATAACGTTAGCTTGATTTGTTAGCTTCCGTTTCGCTAATGGTGCGTTCGCTTTCTCCTCGGAACTCCGAATTTCCGACTAGAAGAACATGAATGCGCTCTAAAGTTTGGCTTCACTTTACTAAATGCGACAGGTGATTGGGTGAAGATGAAACCAGCAACAACGATCTAAGTGTGAGGCATCATCGTTTTAATCTGCTCCAGCAGCTAAATAAACTGTTTAAGATAGCGTTAGCTTGATATGTTAGCTTCCATTGCCACCATTGTTATCAGCTAATGGTGCGTTCGCTTTCTCCTCGGAGATTCTAACTTCCCAGTAGGAAAAATCAAAGAAAAAGGACGGTAAAAGGAATGAAGATACACAGTAAATTTAGTTCACAGTAAAGATGTTTGCTTCAGTTTAATTATCAGCTTATAAAACTACAAGGACGATGTTAAAATACAAACAGTTGTATGTTATTTATTGTGATATTTATCAAATATGGTTATATATTGAGAAAATATATATTTAATTATAAAAGTGTATTTAAATATTAAACACTCAAAAGTATCGAAAATTGGTACCGTTAAGTACCGGTATTGATTCCTAGGTACCGGGAATTAGTACCGAATTGATTCAAATGTCAAAGGTACCCATCCCTACTGTTAAGTGATTTTTCTACCACAGCTGTGAGTTATTTTGATCTCATAGTATTCCAATTTATTTATAAAGCACCATTTCAAAATAACATGGCAGCTAACCAGAGTGCAGTACATAAAAGAGCCAAATGCTTGAACAAATCAATAAAACACAATGAAAGCAGGTAAAATACATAAAAACATAGCATAAATAATCAAGGATAAAAATTCCTACTAAAAACAATAGAATAAGAGAACAGTTTACATCACTATCAAAAATAAAAATAATGTGACGAGTGATAAAAACCATTTGAAATGGCACAAATAAAACCAAAAAAGCTACAAGATGGTGCAATTTAAAGATGACAATTTAAAAGACAATTAATAAATGACAATGTAAAAAAGCTTTGGTATTAAAAACTTGGTATTAAAGCAATCTGTGTCTGGATGAAACTAAAAATGAAGTGTGTGTGTTTGGATGTGTGAATGTAGGTCTCAGAAGGTTTTTATCTTAGAGAGAGAAAAACGTGTTCTGGGTGAAAGAGTTTGGTTTGCAGCTAAGCTAAATTATTTCTTAATAAACAGGCATCCAGACGCAATCTTGTGTTCTACTTCACCATTCAGACGACCCTCTGTTTGGATCCGGAGGTCAAGGGAGGATGTTGATCAGCCTCTGGGTACTCGGTCCGGTAGGGTAGACCAGTGGTGCCGATTCTCTGGTCCTAGAGTTGCCGCAGGCACACAGGTGGATGGTTTTGCGTCTGAGCAGATTCTTAAGGAATCTCGTAGCGTCAGCTTGTTGCAGATGGCGTTTCTGTTGAAGCAATTCTATTGGCATAACAGAAAAGCTTTAGTAGAGGTTTCGAGTGGCCGACCCGATCCTCTGGACTCTCGTTGCCACGGAGAGATTTTGGTGAGCTCAAGAACTGAACTTGAACTGAGGAGTTAGGTTTTAACTTACCTCAAAACACGCCCTCCCAAGATAGAAAGCTCTGGTGTTATGGAACAAAGACATGTATGTATTTATACCCCCTGTTCTGCATTTGCCCCTTGTCGGATTTTGTTGTGTCTTCACCCTGTTACATTGCGTGGTGGGCTGCATGATGGCGCAGTTGTTAGCACTGTAGCCTAGCTGCACGAAGGTCGCAGGTTCGAAACTCAGCTGTGGCCATTCTGCGTGGAGTTTCGTGGAGGGTTGTCACGGTAACCGGTGTAGCGGTAAACCCCGGCAACAAAGTTGACAATAATAATAACCGTCTTGTTTTTTAAAAACTATATTATCTCGGTGGGTTACCGTGGCTGCGGTGTAGGCGCAGTGACCCTTACCAGCCACCGTATCATCTGCTGAAGTTGCCGGCGGCACATGCGCACTTTGTTGTTTACAACCAAAACTTTCTTGAAGCTAAAGCTGAAATAATGACCAAAGGAGGAGACGGCAGCACTCAGGACATTTATTATCCCTCAAAGACGACAAAGTGGGAAGTACGGGCATTTTTGGATATTTGAAGAATGCCGAGGGACAGCTGATAGAAGACGGCTATCCTGTTTGTAGCACGTGCAGAAAAAGTGTCTGTGAAAGGCAGCAACGCTTCAAATCTCATGACACATCTGCGTGACCATCACCCACAACTCTACAGTCAACGCAAGGCAAGCTAATGTTAGCGTTTTAGCTAAAGTGCGTGATCCGAGGATTTGGGTTGAGGGAGAATGCAACGAGTCAATATATAAAGCAGCCGCAGCGCCGCTACCTGCATATAAACCATGTCGCGGATGCTATGCATTACGGAGTTCCCACGGGCAGATAAGAGTTGGTTTCTCTCCGAGAATAATTATGAATTTAACAACGATTACTGCCTGATGGCATTTTCCGAAATCTGCAAAGCTCACTGGAAGGACACAAACCGAGGACAATATTTTCCTGATATAGGGTTTATTACTCAAGTAAGAGAAAAAAAGCATCTGATTAGAATGCTACTTGAGTACTGAGTATCATCTGATGTAATACTTTTAAAATGATGACATCAAACAGACAAAAGATAACAAGTTATGGGCAAATATTGGTATTTTAAAGACTAAAGGGGAAAATGTAAACAAATAAACAACATAATTACAAAATAACACGTTTTAGGCAAAGTTTAGACACAAACTGAGTACAATATTTTCCTGATATACTGGGTTTATTTAATCGTCTGAAAATGTAACACGTTTAAAAAAATACCGCGATAATACCGAAAACCGTGGTAATTTTGGTCACAATAACCGTGAGGTTCAATTTTCACACTGTGACAACCCCAGTTGCGTGTTCTCCCCATGCATGCGTGGGTTTCCTCGGGGTTCTCCGGTTTCCCCCACAGATCACAACATGCCCTATAGGTTATAAATTGTAAGTCACTTTGGATAAAAGTGTCTGCCAAATGAATAAATATAAATAAATATAAACATGTGAGTGCAGTTAACCTTAACCTGAGTTCTGTGTCCTGCATGGTGTGTATAAGTGCACATGACCGTCTTGTCACTGTTAAACATTACTGATTATCATAAATAATAATTATTATTAACCAAAGAATAATAATTCATTTCAGTAATTAAATACATTTATAATGAACCTTGATGATTATTTATGAACATTGTAATAGACAGTGAAAAGAGTTTATTAAAAATGATTCTTTTAAATCTTGAAGTGTCCTTCGTCTTGCGGATGGAACAGCAGTCAGATTAAAGATGGTTTACAGCAGACTTCACGTCTCCTGTGATGGATAATCTGTAGATAGAAGTGCAGCCAGGACAGCTTGACCCAGCTGAGGAAGTGTGACCTTTGGGTCACAAATGAGGCCATTCATGTCGCTCCAGTACTCTGTTGCATCATGGCAACAAGCACTGCTTGTTTCTATCTCCGGTTAAATGGCCTGATATAAAAATAAAGTTTAATTTGTTGTAAATAACAACGAAAACATGTTATTTGTATCATCTTTGGTCCACTTTTGTTCAAAACTGATAAATTACCAGCATTTTCCACAGTTAAGTGCATAAAAACAATATTTTTTCTTGAAAACAGAGCAACTCTGCTTTTATTTTGAAAGTGGGTTAGCTGATTAGCATTTTGAGGGATCGTGAAAAATAAAACCCAAATGCACACAGCAAATTTTACAGGTTACACACAATTGTTTACAATAATAGACAACTTAATGCTTCTTTATTAGTATTTCTCATATAAAACTCTACAGTTATTAGATTTATCCTCTGACATTCGGAGTATAACGGTTGCGAAGCAATGCATTGTGGGGAACTGCTGTTCCACGTCTGCAAAAGGATGCATTGATGCATCCTCGATACAATGGGCGGAGCAAGAACACATCCGGGAGCTTTGAGCAAACTTGCCATGATGCATACATAGGATTGGAACCGTCCTCGGGCCGCCGTTGATGACGTGTCACAAGTTCAGACAACTACGCATATTGAGAAACGCTCCTGGTCTCGGTCGTCCTCAAGACCAACTCCTCTCAGAGCGTCTGTGTTGTCGGCTCAGCTTCATCTTCCTCTCCTGCTTCCTCCCAGAGCCCGAGCTACCGGTTCTGTTTGGACTCTCCATCCGATCCTCGATGCCTCGAGTCTTTATTGCCCTCAAATAAGAGTGAGCATCGACAGGATCTACAGCCCCGCAGCGATTGGCTCTTCTCTTTCACTGTGATGAAAATGGAGTTTGTTCCGAGTTGGCACACAGAAGCCTCGGGCCGACGCCAGGCTCAGTGTAAACTGCGCTGATACGAACAGACATGTCGTGTAAATAAGACAAGAGGGAGACGGGCCAGAGTCAAGTCGGGGTTTAGAGTGACTTCCTGATCTCCACGTGTCATTTCTCGTGTCCTGCCCTAATCTGAGTGGATTTAGATCCTCGCTGCTTTTAGTTTACCAAGTAACGACTGTTCTGTTTAGGATCATCACTGAGCCACAATAATTAAACCTGTTTCTGGACCCAGGGCTCCAAAGAGGCGCTCAGCTGGACTTTTCTAGGAGTTCTGACAGTTCTGTTGTTCTGCTGTGTTTCAAAATGGCTGCTTCTTGTTTCAGCCTCGTTCTCTGTGCTTCTGACAGTTTATTCCAACAAGAAGAGAGAAGGAGAAATAAGAGTGAGGACAGCAGTGAGATAGGATCCAGTAATGAATAGAACAAGGCCGCCCCCCTCATTCAGCCTCCTCTGTTATTCTTCAGGGTCAGTGACTGTCGCTGAAAGGCGAACCAGTCAGGCATGAGCGCTGCTGACCTACAATTTATCTGTCATCATTACCTAATGCTGCAAACGCTGGGGGGGTAGACGTGCAGCCAGACTCGGTTCTCCACCATCTCCCGGGAGGACGAGAATCTGTTCTAACTAACTAAACTCACTGCTGAACATGCTTTATGATCTGAGTCTCACCCTTTACCCAGGATCTCAGGTCTGCACAGCGTGTCCTGGGGCGGTCCAGAATATCAATCATTTGTTCTGTTTCTCAGGTGGAGAGCGTTTGTCTTCTCAGCAGCACCAACGCATCATACATCAGGACATGTCCAGCACTGGGAACAAATGGAGTGACGTGTCCCGATGGACTGTCGGGCCCGCAGGACCCCCAGAAATCAGGATTCTTCCTCTGACTGAAGGAAGAGGGGGAGCACAGGAGGTACAGCGAGACCGGACTTTGGGTCTAACTTCCTCCTAAGAACTGCTCCGATGTCTCACCTCAACCTTAAAACAACTTAGCTGATGTTTTCTGTCACACCGTGTTCGTTTTTCACTGAAAGTTTGGAAAAAAGCCAGAAACCTTTTTCTGATCTGAGCAGAAACCGCTGGAGGAGGAGGAGGCCCGAGGAGCTCAGGTTCTCTTCGTGACTTCTGCTGCTTAGCTGTGGGTTTCATTTTAATTCGGTCTGAAATAATCTGCAAGTTTCAGATGGCTGAAGCATTTAAACTTGATGTTGTGTCGTAGAAACACTGTGTTCACTCATCTTTGCCACACCAGTAGCACCAGTTAGCCCATCTGTAGCATCGTAGCGGCTAGTCTGTGTAACCCGATGGAAACTGGAAGGAGATAGGTTTGTTGAAACCGATCTGCAGTCAAATTGCAAAAAGATTTTTCATCTATCTGCAGTAATTAAATGATATTTATGTGAAATTAAACCAACAGAAGAGTCAAAAAATGCTGCTTAACTTCTAAAAATGTTCAGTATTTATATCAAATCTTCCTGATTACAGATTATTTAAACATCAGTGGGGGTCAACAGGGTCATCCTGGAGCATCTCATTCCTTTTGGTGTTATTAAAGAGACGTAGAAGATGAGAGGTGGAGATGTTTGTCCTGAAGTTGTTTACAGAGGTTCTGTGCACTTAAACAGCCAGTCAGACACGATCCGAGGTTCACATCCAGTTAAAGCATTTTGTTTCCTGACTGGAGAACTCCCCCAGTTAATGCCTTGTCTTCAGCCTCGGCCCATCTCACACACACACACACACACACACACACACACACACACACACACACACACACACACACACACCAACCGAACTGTAAATACATGATTTGTTTTAATCCAGTGACTCAGGAGCAGACGAGCAGCACTGAAGCACTAATCTACTGGTTGTTTATGTCAGAGATGTTCATGTGTGTAACCCTGGTGCTACTCCATCAGCTGGAGCCTGAAACCAAACATGTAACCGGGTCAGATCATCAGAGCTCATCGACTCCCCGAAGGTCTTATTTATGTATCATGAAGATATCAAACTCTCTCCTGGGTGGTCCAATCACAGGTTTGGGTCAAACAGGAACAGCTGATGAGTGTGTCTTTTACAGAGAGAGAATTTTCCACTTGTGATTGGATCATCTGGACTGGAACACAGCTGACCTGAGAACCAGAACCTGAAGAAGGAAGTCCTTTAGCATTTAGCATCGAGTCGGAAACCAAATGCAGAGCGTCTCTGGTGTTGAATGTCCTGAATAAAGACGTATCAGACACAGAATCTGCAGCATCAGCGGATGACAATCACCACAGCAACGAAATGCATTTAGAGTTTTACCTCCTTAGTTTATTTTACTTTGTCTTTTCCTATAAAACAGATCATTTAAAAGCACTTATGAGATCAAATGCTGTAAGACAATTATAAAACTGAGCATCTTTTTTAATAATTAAAAAAGAAAACTGTGTGTGTGTGTGTGTGTGTGTGTGTGTGTGTGTGTGTGTGTGTGTGTGTGTGTGTGTGTGTGTGTGTGTGTGTGTGTGTGTGTGTGTGTGTGTGTGTGTGTGTGTATGGAGCTAGGATTGGGACAATATTACATGTAACTTGTAACATGTTTGTAACAGTAACTTTCGTTTTGTTTCACATAATTAACATTTAGTAACACATTACATTGGTTTTGTAGCATGTCATACCTTGTTTTGTAACATGTAACTTTACATTGATTTTTTCCTGCAAGTTACAAATTAAAGTTTTATGTTACAGACAAAGGTTTCGTGAATTACGTGCATCAAAACAAAAGTTGTGCTACAAAACAAAAGTTATGTGTTACAAAACGATAATTACATGGTACAACATGAAGGTTGTGCTTTACAAAACAAACGTTACATGTTACTAAACGAGAGTTACGTTTTAGAAAACAAACATTACATGTTACAAAATTAGATTTACAACAAAATGAAAGTTACATGTTACAAAACAAGAATTACATGCTACAAAATGAAAGTTACATGTTACAAAAGTAGAATTATGCATTAGAAAACAAGCGTGATGTGTTACAAAACGTGAATTAAATGCTACAGAACGAAAGTTACACTTGCAAAACATGTTATAAGTAAAAAAACTAGGTACAAGTTATATGTAATAGTTTTCCGTGTGTGTGTGTGTGTGTGTGTGTGTGTGTGTGTGTGTGTGTGTGTGTGTGTGTGTGTGTGTGTGTGTGTGTGTGTGTGTGTGTGTGTGTGTGTGTGTGTGTGTGTGTTAAAAGCACCAGTATCACAAACTCCAGCACTGACAGTAATCTGATAGAGATAAAAGAGCATTTTATGATCCAAGATGATGATTATTGTTCCTCTGAATCGTGTGTTTTTGTTTATCTTTGTCGTTTCCAGTTTGTCACTTTAGCTGAAACTAAACCGGTGCCATAGCAATGAGCTGAGACAGTTTTTCACCGTGCTGGAGCACAAGTACAGCATTTGTTTTTGTAAAAAAAAGGTGTTTGTTTGTTTTACTGTTTTGAATCCACTTTGTCCACAGATGACCTGTTGAAGTCTGAAACCAAACTGTCCAGGTGTTGTTTTGTTTTAACTCACAGACTTTTGTGACTTTTATCACTAAAGTTCATAGTTGTATGCCAACAAACTTTTATATAAAAAATGCAGTTTGCCTCTGAGCTGTGTATTGAAATGTGCTCTTAGGTCCTGGAAATAAAGGAAGTTGTGCAATCACACCCCGTCTTCTCTCCTTTCAGAGCCTGTAGTCCCTCACCTGCCCACAAGGTGTCAGTGTAGCTCTACCATCAACCCCACCCCCCCCCCCCAGGTGTTTTCAGTGTAGTCAGCAAGTAAAGAACAAGTACGACTGAAATAAAGAAAACACTCAGTTGAAAGCTTCTGATCTGTTTCTGTTTTCCTTCCATCTTTTGTCTCTCTTTGATTATAATTAAGTCAACTGATTTTCACATTAAAGTGCTACATTTGACACTTTAGTGACTGGTTATTTCCACACTCATGTCCCTTAGAGGTCCTGGGACTGTACGCATATAAGATATAAAATTGAGACAAAATTGTCATAAATGGATTTAAAATCTATCACAAACCCAAAGGGACCTGTCCAGTTCTCATTTTGTGTGATTCAAATGGAAAATTGTTATTATTTCTGTCATGACTCCCAGTCTTTCACCCTCCTCTGCCTCTGCTGCCTCCTCATCAAGCCCTCAGCCTAGGGATGAGCAAGTACACCACTATCTGTATCTGTATCTGTTCAACCATCTAAATTATCTGTATCTGTACTAGGAGTGGGCGTGGCCTAACCCGAAAGTGGGTGTAGTTTAACCGAAAGTGGGCGTGGTTTACATCAATACGTTATTTTAAGTCTGATCAGAATTTGCCATGTGTATTGTTTATTTGAAAACTATTTACAGAGCAGCCTCAGAGTTGAGATTAAATGTTTTTGATCACAATAGTAAAGGAACTATTACAGAACGAGTTTTACAATAAAATCAGAACATTAATATTTAAGTGCATGAATTAAGAGAGAGAAGAAAAGATCTTTTCTATAGCGCCTCTCAAGATAAAAATCACGGGGCACTTCACAAAAACAAAACATGTAAAACAGAAAAAATAATTTAGAAAATGATTAAAATATATTTAAAATGAGCAAAAAATGGACAATTGTGGTTAAAAAATGTAAAGAAAGAGAGAGAGTGAATAGGAAAGAGGGAGTGTATCCTGAGGAAGAGGAGAGAGAGAGAGAGAGAGGGAAAAAAACCCGACCGGAGCGGAGGCAGTGACTGACGCAGCACGAGCCGTTTTCAGCTCTGGCTTGTCAAATGCACCACGTACGTTACGAAAAAAGTAACTTTAAATAACTTTAAAGTAACTTTAAAAAGAAGCAAACTGAAGAAAACATAGGGAGTACTGAAGAAACGTGAACAGTGAAGCAAGCACAGAGAGATCCGTTACTGTGTGTGTGTGTGTGTGTGTGTGTGTGTGTGTGTGTGTGTGTGTGTGTGTGTGCGCGCGTGTGTGTGTGTGTGCGTGGATGGACCGGACGCGGACTGAGCTGAGAGCTCCCGGCTGCAGAGTTTTTGTGTAGGGAGGGGCGGGCGCTCTATGTGACTGGCCAATCACAGAGCGGGAAGACAGTCAGTTACCCAATGAGGATTTTCCTTCAGCACGATTACAGATATTTACGAGTTTTACTCGTTTCATGCTCGTACTCGTCAAAAATGCTTTATCCGTACCGGATACTCGTCTGAAACAAGTAACCGGCTCATCCCTACCTCAGCCACTTCATTCATCTCACCTGTCCCTGTCATCAGCTCATTACACACACCTGCTCCCCCTGCTATCTATTCACCAGCCAGCCACCAGTCCCCGACCAGATTATTGAACGCTCTTTGCCAGTAGATCTTCCAGCCTTTCACCTTGCCTGATCACAGCCTCCGGACCTCGTTTTCACGCCTGACCACTGCCTTGAACTCAGCCTGCCGCCACGACCCTCGCCTGTCTTCTACCACGTCTCCAGCCTGTTCCCTGTACCTGCTTGTCCCGATCTGGTTTTGACCCACGCCTCCTCTCCGACTCTGTCTCCTGCCTCGCCCTCTTCGGGTAACGCCACATCTAATAAAGACCTTTTATTGAACTTTTTACTGTGTTTGGTGTCATCACGGGTCTTCCAATTTCTGGTCGTGACAATTTCTCCTTGTTTAGTCTCAAAACACTCTAATTTCTCACACTTTCACCAAAAAAAGCTAAGCTGAGACGACTGTGAGGGAAAATGCTGTCTCAGCAGCACGAGACGCTTTTTGAGGCATTTATTAAAGTCACTCCTAAATTATTCAGTAATAAAATAGCTGCATAACTCAAGGGATGATTGTTGAACTGATTAAAAGGATTAACAATAACACAGTGATTAGCTGTTTGCTAAAATCTTTCCATGATTGTGTTCAAACAGATAAAATTTAAACACTTCTCAGTTTTTGTTAGAGGCAGGTTTGAGCAAAAGAGTCCCTCCGAGGCTTTAGACGCTGAAGTGATGCACGCCATCAACAAGAGGCTTTTAGCTGCACAAACACCCTCTCACACACACGTTTTTACCCCATTTTCTTACGCTTTTTGCACCCATGGATGTGTGAACACACACTGATGCAGGAGGATCACAGAAGAACCTCCAAACGGCTCAGACTTCTAGTGCGGCACGTGGAGCTTATTCGCCTACATCTTTGATAACCTGACCAGAATAATTTATGAGGGTTTGTCTTCTGTCCTCCTCAGCAGGTTAACTTTGCCTGCTTGTGACGTGATCAATCATCCAAGCAAGATGTTTTGTGTCCCACTTTATCCGTGAGTCGGGTCTGCTGGGAGTCCTGATGCAGGAACGCCGACATACCCATGAACCAGGAACAGACCGGCTGATTAGGATGAAAAAACAGATTAAGTGTTTATAGAAATAATACATAAATATAAAAGTAAAACAATAGCACTAGGGGTGGGAATTGAACATGTTAACTACGACAAGCTGCACATAACAAAGCAGCAGACTGTGAGACCATGGAAACCTTTTTTGGGCTCCAAACACAACTAAAACTACAATTACATGAATCATGACAAATTTCTCTTCATGAAGGAAAGAGAGAAAGAAAACATCAGTTATTTTACCGGCAGCAACTTTACTGGTGCGGCGCCATGCCTGCAATTCTAGTACCATGGCTACGAAATCAACCCCCACCCCTGTCTCACAGGAGAGGCACGGAAGTGAAACGTTCCCCACTCTCACAGCAGCAAAACGGTCCGCAAATGCAAACACCCTCCCTTCCGCATGGCACACAGCCTAAGTCTCCGCCCTTTCCGGTCGGCTCACGGGTCCCCAGAAGAACAAAAAATGAATGCAAGTCAGCAGGACTTAAAAGAGCTATTTTCTAATCCACTTTGCCTTACGCCCTGGATCGCACATGTTGTACTGCTATTTAAATGAAAAGTAATAATGTGTATTTCGACCACACCAGTCACGTACTTTGACATTTATCGGCTTGTAAAAGTTCGTAATTAGCATGACTACACACCAGAAATCGGCATGTCGCATATGTGATGTCACCACATAATCTCCTCTCCCCTAGCGTAGCTGCTACTCACCACATGGCCAGATTTATGGTGGTTCTTTCCTCCTTTGGGAAGGATTTTAAGTTTGTTGAACTTACAGCCATTTTCCCTCAATTGTCTCCATGTCTGGATTGATGACGTCACTTCGTGCGCATTTGTAGTCCGGGACTTATTTTCACACAAAGTCTAAAATAACGTTTTGCCCCGTTCGAAAATATACGCCTTTTTGGTATCGAAATGCTTCTTTAAAATTGACGGGCATCATATGTGAAATCCATGGCACAAAACAAGCGGAATTAGAAAATAGTGTTTTTGGCCCCGTTGACTTGCATTCATGCTTTCGTTCTTCCAGGGACCCTACCTACCCCACCCCTCACCGTGCACCATGGCTGTAAACATTTCTAGGAGAAACACTGAACCTTCAGCAGAACTTCCCCTGAACTCTACACTACATCTCTTTAAATATTCGTAGTGCTCTGCTGCCACCCAGTGTTTTGTTCAGCACAGTACAGTTACAATGTTTCATGTCCATTTACACTTCATCTATAACACACATAATAATATTTATACAGTTAACAAATCCCACAATGGTTACTAATTATGAGACCAAAGTAATCAAACACACCTTGTGGTTACATAAATATACTCTGTGGGTAAGCTGTGCATCATTAATATTATATTTGACTTCAAAAATGTGATGATTTGTCTTGCACGATTAATATGCGATTAATCAAGATTAATTAATGACATTGTTTTTATTTTAATAAAAATTTTAGTCCCACCCCTAAATAAAACATGAAATCTTGTAAAAGATATTTAAGTTTTGACCAAAATGAGTTAAACTTCATCATTTATCAACATAAGATCAATGAATAAATGAATGAAATCTTTATTTCGAACTGAAAAAAATAATAATAAAGTCATTGTACACATTAAAAATAAACTCACTGATGATCACACCAAAAATTAAATTGTCATATTCAGTTTGAAAAGGAGTTTACCCCCTGAAAATATTTTATAAATTTGAATTACGTTTGTTTATTTTTTTGGCAGATGCTTTTATGCAAAGCGACAATTAATTAATTAATTAATTTATTTATTTATTTATTTATTCATTAAATAATAATTAATAACAATTTAAGTTGTAGTTTCAGATTTCCCAAAAACACACTAAATCAACAAAAATAATTCTTTAATTATTATTCTTGAGGAACTTGGCAACCATGCTTCTATTTTTTCTTTGTCAAACAGAAAAATGCTTTTATTTTGGTGGTATATTAATTCCAGTAAATAAAACACCTAAACGCTGTTTGATTTTTCTTCAAAATACTAAAGAATCAGAATACAACAACAGCTTTTAGTTATTAAAGATTTTATTTGGGAATTTAGTTAAAAAAAAGAATTTTTTTCATGATAAAATTAGTAATCATGATTAAGAATATTTTCCTTTAATTTACCAACTGAAAGCCTTCCTTTCCGTATTGCAGACTCAAGCACCTGAATGAGGAACATCGCTGCTGCTTCTGCGAAGAAAAGATCTGAAATATTTAATGACCTCCTCACTACTCGGGCCTTTCTCTGACTGATGGTGACCTGCTTTCAGGACGTTTTAATTCAGGTAAAACTT